ATAGCGTATAAAGTAGAACTTTGGATACAACGATATAGATCCTATTGGACTTAATATCATTATCTGTTGTGCACATTGGCGCAGACCCATCCCCCATTTTCTTGCCATGACTATTGAGGAAGTAGAAGCAAATATTTGCTTACACACGGATGATGTGTTGAACTCTATTATGGATCCTGTTACCTCACTCATTTAATGCAAGAAATTAAAAACTTTGGGGATGTATCAAACTATAAGATAAATCTTTATAAAACTATTGCCTTAAATATGAATGTAAAACCTTATGTGCTAAGCTCGCTTCAAGAGAATTATAATTTTCAGTGGACTAAATTAGAGTTCCAATACCTTGGAATTATCACGGCAAATCCTCAAAAAAACAAGAGACCAATTTTCTAAAAATGTTAAAACATACAAATAAAATTTTAAAAGAATGGCTGTCATTAGAAGTATCTTGGTGGGGAAGAGCCAATACAATAAAAGCTTACATCATCCCTAAATTGACTTATATGTTTAATATGATCTCATTAAAGATTCCCAAACCGTGGTTGGATATGCTTCAATATTCATTTTCCAATTTTATCTGGAATGGGAAAACACCAAGAATAAAAGCCCAAATTTTAACAAAAAAAACCAATCCAGGAGGTATGGCTTTTCCACTCATCAAGGTTATATATAATGCAAATATTATTTCCCACATTCATAAATTCCATATCCTAGATTCTAGAAACCAGCCGTGGTATCAGAAAGAAACAAGAAAAGAGAAAGATTTAGCCCTTTTGATTTGGGACAATAAAACCAATTATAAGACTCATTTAACTCTATGCAATTCAATTATTGTATCCCAACTTATTGAGGAATGGCAAAAAATTCAAACATTTCTAAATATACCTAAAATATAATTTGAATGAGTGAATATTTGGGTCTTGGAGAGAGTAATGCTTAATCTAAATCTTGCTAAATGGAGACTTCATAAAGAGATCTATATTAGAAACCTCATCCAAAACACAAGAATGCTCTCTTTTAATAATCTTAAATCAAAAATTTATATTCCGGAAATAGAAAGTTTCTCTTACTTAAGAGTACGAGGATTTCTAAATAAATTCTTATTAAGAAAGGAAGGGGCTAAAAACAATCTGCTTTATAAAAATTTTGACAAAAAAAGAATCTAAATCAATATATTCCATCGCCATGGACATAATTAGACTAGAATATTAAAACTTCCATCCTACTGCTAAAAAGCAATGGGAAAAAGGCCTCAATTTTAAAATTTTAGATAAGACATGTTGCTCACCTATGAAATTACTTAGAAAACACATACATTGCTTAAATTTAAACAAAACTTTTTTAAAGTTCAGCACGGGTGGTACCTGGTTCCAACTAGAATGGCCACGATATCAGCACTTAACTCCCACCTCTGCTGGAGATGTCTATCTGAGGAGGGAAATATGTTACATATCTGGTGGGGTTGCCCAAAATAAGTATCTTATGGGAATCAATATATATATTTTTTTTGTCTCTTTTAAATATCAAAGTTAAAAAATGCCCAGAAGCAGGTCTACTTCATATTAATTGGGACAGACTCCCAAGAGATCAATTAATACTGACCATCCATTCTTTTATAGCAACGAAAGTATTAATCGCTAGATTTTGGAAACTGATAACAACGCCAGATATGAAACCGTTTATAGCCCAATTGATATTTCAATTGGAAATAGAGAGAGGAGTCGCATATTCAAATAACAGTAAATACACATACAACTTGGATAAGTGGATAACAAAGGTTAAAGGTAGTTTTTATTAAAGGTGTATCTGATAACACATGTTTATGTCCTATCAGCCTTCCTTTAGTTCTTATGTGGATCCAACCAATAACAGAAGAATGATTCTTATGTATGCTCAATATGTTTTGTTTTGTAATAATGTATTTGTCTTTTGGTATTAATGATACTTAATGCTGTTTTCTTTATTTTATTTTTTTTTTCGTACTTATACATTTTTAAATATTTCAATAAAGAGAAATTTAAATATAAAATTGAGATTCCCTTCATGCAAAAAAAAATAGACCTATTAAGTCAGTGTTGCTAAGAGTAAGGCTACCGCAAAATGTGACATTTTTAAGAGGCATATTAAGGCCTTGGTCCATAAAATTTTTGGATATTACTAATTCAGAGGAAACTGAATTTTTATTTCAACCATATAATTTCAGGTGTCAGTTGAAGGCTTTGCAAGTGAGAAAATGGCTACAGAAATTAAGGTAATTCTTTTATTTTTATTTTGTACATTAAAATGGAATTATCACTTACCAAAAAATGTTTAATAGTATGTTTTCCCCCTCCCCTCCCCTCCCCTCCCCTTATATGTACTCAAATATATGTGTGGGTTAAGGTTGAAAATCAAAACTTAATGTAAAAATTAATGCTGCTGTATTTCGCTGTATCCTGTTGCTGGAAATATCCATTTTTACTTAAAGCAGCACTGTCATGCCAAACTTACCTTTCCTCAATCTCTTCCTCTTCTCCCCATCTCTCAGGATCTGTTCTTTTCTTCCTGTCTTCTTTAGTTTTCTTTAAAATCATAAGACAAAGTAGGGACCCTTTGCCTTATGGAGGTTTCCTCCGCTTGACCAGCGGAGGAGCAAAGTGTGCTTCATTTCCGCTGGTCAGAGCAATTTTCCCATGTTCACACGATGCTTCCTGTCAGTATTGCCGAACGTCCTGTCACTTAGACAGAACGCTGACAAAACTGCCAAATTGCATCCTAATAGAATGAGAACAGTTTCTCCATTCGTGTTAGGGTGCAATTTGGGACTTTGCTCGGATCGCAATTTCATTCGAATGAATGAAACTCCGATCCTATTTGTGCTGTGGCTGCCTCTTGCAGCTGCTTAGTACATAACTCGCTAATTCTCACCATATCAGGGAGCTATCTACTAAAATGCTGAAAGACCTAAATTGGTTGTTCAGCCAAATTTACTAATACTAAGTAAAGATTACTTAGTATTAGTAAATTCTGCCCCTACTCGCTATACCGCGAGTAGGGGCATGTTTATTAAACATAATTTTTTTGCGCTCGGGTTTTCTATTTTATTTTAAGTTCGACGGGTATGATGGCTTTTTATTTGGCCTTTTTTGGGGCTGAAAAATGAAGATTTTAGAAAAAAGAAGACGTCAAATGGAAAGTTACATTTTTGTTTACAGGTTAGTTATTTTATTCCCCCCTCACTATTTTTAGTGTGAGGGGGGTAGGTAGGGGATAGTTTTATTTTGGGGTGGTGACTAGGGGCTTGGGACCCCTAGTAACCTTGATTGGGGGGGATTTTTATTTAGGGCCCGCACCCGCCGCTCAGGGGTGGGGGCCGGGGACGACGACAGTAGGTGTCCCCCCTTATTGTTTTTTTTAGGACCCCCACTCACCGCTCAGGGGTGGGGGCCGGGGGGGAGGACAGTAGACCCTCCCCTTATTGTTTTTTAGGGCCCCCACCCACCGCTCAGGGGTGGGGGCCGGGCGGGGAGGACAGTAGACCCTCCCCTTATTGTTTTTTAGGGCCCCCACCCACCACTCAGGGGTGGGGGCCGGGGGGGGAGGACAGTAGGTCTCCCCCCCTTATTGTTTTTTTGGGCCCCCACCCCTGAGGGGAGGACAGGAGGTCCCCTCTCACCCCCCACCATTCTAATATAGGGCCCCTACCCACCGCTCAGGGGTGGGGTCCGCAGGGGGTGGACAGTAGGTTCCCCCCGTCCCCCCCTTATTGGTTTTTAGGACGGTGGGTGGGGGCCAGGTGGGGGGGACAGTAGGTCCCCCACCCACCGCTCAGGGGTGGGGTCCGGGGGGGCAGGACAGTAGGTGTCCCCCCCTATTGTTTTTTAGGGCCCCCACCCACCGCTCAGGGGTGGGGTCCGGTGGGGGGGGACAGTAGGTCCCCCCCCTTATTGTTTTTTAGGGCCCCCACCCACCGCTCAGGAGTGGGGGGGGGAGGGACAGTAGGTCCCCCCTCACTTATTGTTTTTTAGGGTCCACACCCACCGCTCAGGAGTGGGGGCCTCGGGGACAGTAGGTCCCCCCTCACTTATTGTTTTTTAGGGCCCCCACCCACCGCTCAGGAGTGGGGGCCGGGGGGAGACAGTAGGTCCCCCCTCACTTATTGTTTTTTAGGGTCCCCACCCACCGCTCAGGGGGGGGGAACGACAGTAGATCCCCCCCCCTTATTGTTTTTTAGGGCCCCCTCCCACCACTCAGAAGTGGGGGGAGGAGGGGGACAGTAGGTCCCCCCTCACTTATTGTTTTTTAGGGTCCCCACCCACCGCTCAGGGGTGGGGGCCGGGGGGGAGGACAGTAGGCCCCCCCTTATTGTTTTTTAGGGCCCCCACCCACCGCTCAGGGGTGGGGGCCAGGGGGGAGGACAGTAGGTCCCCACCTTATTGTTTTTTAGGGCCCCCACCCACCGCTCAGGGGTGGAGGACTGTAGGTCCCCCCACCATTCTTATATAGGGCCCCAACCCACCACTCAGGGGGGGAGGACAGTAGGTCACCCCCTGTGTTTTTAGGGCTCCCACCGCTCAGGAGTGGGGGCCATGGGGGGAGGATAGTAGGTCCCCCCCCTTATTGTTTTTTAGGGCCCTCACCCACTGCTCAGGGGTGGGGGCCATGGGGGGAGGACAGTAGGTCCCCCCTTATTGTTCTTTAGGGCCCCAACCCACCGCTCAGGGGTGGGGGCCGGTGGGGGAGGACAGTAGGTCCCTCCCCTTATTGTTTTTTAGGGCCCCCACCCACCGCTCGGGGGGGAGGGCAGTAGGTCCCCCCCCACCATTCTTATATAGGGCCCCAACCCACCGCTCAGGGGGGAGGACAGTAGGTCCCCTTATTGTTTTTTAGGGCTCCCACCCACCTCTCAGGAGTGGGGGCCATGGGGGGAGGACAGTAGGTACCCCCCTCCCCCCCTTATTGTTTTTTAGGATAGTAGTTTACTTTTAAACAGTTTGTTTAGTAGACATGCCCCTACTCGCGGAATAGCGAGTAGGGGCATTGGGGAGATTTTAATCATATTGACCCCCATAGAGTGAGGGAGGACAATGGGGGCTTAGGAAGTGACGGGGAGCACAGCATATGGTCTCACAAGGGGTCTGAGGATCTCATCTCAGTACCTAATGGCAGCCAAGCTACCTCTGGCGAGCACATGGAGTGCTGGTGCGGCCACCCACACCATTACTGACCCACTGCCAAACCGGTCGTGCTGGAGGATGTTGCAGGCAGCAGAACATTCTCCACGGCGTCTGCAGACTCTGTCACGTGTGCTCAGTGTGAACCTGCTTTCATCTGTGAAGAGCACAGGGCGCCAGTGGCGTATTTGCCAATCTGGGTGTTCTCTGGCAAATGCCAAACGTCCTGCACGGTGTTGGGCTGTAAGCATAACCCCCACCTGTGGACGTCGGGCCCTCATACCACCCTCATGGAGTCTGTTTCTGACCGTTTGAGGAGATACATGCACATTTGTGGCCTGCTGGAGGTCATTTTGCAGGGCTCTGGCAGTGCTCCTCCTGTTCCCCCTTGCAAAAAGGCAGAGGTAGCGGTCCTGCTGCTGGATTGTTGCCCTCCTACGTCTCCTGGTGTACTGGCCCTAATGTGTGTGTGTGTGTGTGTGTGTGTGTGTGTGTGTGTATATATATATGTATATATATATATATATGTTTGTGTGTGTATATATAACTGTATCAAAATACACTTAGAACAAAATATATATCTATA